GAACTTTATCTGAGTCTTGTCCTTGTTTTTAGGGAGGAGGAACAGAGGTGTGACTAACTGGCTTATTGAAGATGGGAGAGGATTTATCTGGGCACCAGCTGTGGGTACCAAATTGGAGCAGCTCTTGAGCAGTACAGGATGGAGCAGAGCAGTGGCCAAAGCCCAGGGCATGTCCATCCTTATCTGGCAGGGAGCTGGAGTGGTTTCAGCTCATGATGGTAGGTGCTTCTACACCAGGGCTGGCCCAGCTGACGTGCTGGGTATACCCTCAGCTTCTGGAGCAACAAAACACTCTCCCTCTCTCTCTATTTTGAGACTGTGTTACAACCACTAAGTCGATGGAAAAACAAACGCAAATCCTGTCAAGTACTAGGACAAATATTTTTAAGGCTATTTCAGGGTTTATAAAAAATATTAAACTAGAAAGTAAAATACACTTTATTAAACTGCCTTAATTTATAGTCAAATATATGGACTTTCTGCTGGGGTGTAAAAAGTAAAGATGCCTCTGAGTCTAAGACTTGGATTGTCAGTGTCTGAGAGTATTTATGAATTGCTAGGTGCAAATATTGTCTTGAAATCTTCTGATAAGATAGTCTTTCTTTAAAGTAAGCTCTCCTTATGGCTGCTGTTGAGTGCATGTATGGAGCTGTAACATGCTGCTTGTTCACCTCTCCAGAACAAGCTGAGTTTGTCAGTCATTCACCATTCCTACAGCATAAAGTGTCCTATTGAACACTGAGACATTGCTGCTGGATGCCTGAAGACCCCAGGCCTACTAGAAGATCAAAAAAAAATATAGTTCAATTAAAGACCAAGGGCAAAAATGGTTTCATGAGTTTTCTGTTTCAAATTAGACTCTTCAAGGCCTCTTTCCCAAATTTCTTCCATTCAAGTTTTGGATTCAGTCCTAAATGCTGGGTCTGAAACCCCAAATTACACCGCAGTTTGTGCCCACATCTGTGATGGGGTGGATCCAAACAGCAGATATAACCACACCGAAACCCAGTGAAGTTTTGGGTCCCCTGCCCAGGTTCAGTTGAGTCCCTTTGCCTTGTGGATCCTGTCTGCCCTGCTGGACCCTCATCTGCCCCTCCACAGCCTGCCCACCCCACACCTAATCCACCCAGGGCCACTTTGGGTGAACATAATCTATGACATAAATATAATAGGATCTGAGTTAGCTTCGAGGACTGGTAGGGGTTAAGTCTTTTGTAAGTTCAATTAAGAAATAAAACTCGGTGGGAGACCTGCAATGCTTCCCAGTTGTTCTCCAAGTACCACAACAAACCTGCTCATTTTAGGCCTGGTATCTAAGGGGGTATCTGGCTTTGTAATCTGGGGTTTGGTTTGGGCTCATCTCTACCCAAAATATTATTTTAACCACTCTTTGTATTTCATTTCCATACTTTTCCTTTGGTATGCTTTGAGAAAAGATTCTGCCAAAGACAGAAATGCTTTGAGCCTGAAAAACATTTTTTTTTCTGTGTATATGGAAGGCAGTGTTTTGCTTGGCTTAGCTTGTGAAATACATGGCACAACCTGCATGAAATATTTGAGGCTGTGAGGAGACATGAGCAATTCTTAAAGAAAAAAAAAAAGAAGAAAAAAGTTAGTTTTCATTCAATGGTCTCATTTGCTTATAACCACACCTAGACAGGAGATGTGGGGCAGAGCAAGGAAGAAGAGTTTGATTTATGAACTTGTAAAATCAAAGTTGTTATAAAGTTAAAAAGAAACAAAACAGCCCCCCCAAAAAGCTCAGACTCATGGCAAGGTTTCTACACATGTGAGCAGGAATGAAACCATTAGTGTTTGATAAAAATTCATGAGGCTTTCAAAGTACCAGGGGTTGAGATGAAAGCTCTGCCTTGTGTACCCAGGCTGTGGGGAAAAGGGCTGCCAAGTGCCCCTGTCCTCACCTGGTTGGGCTTTTCCTGTGGAGGGTCACAGTATGGGGTGGAAGGCTAATGGGGAGCTTAGAGGGTCAGTTAATAGTTCAGGGGCCTGCTGGCAGGGCCCTCTGGATTTTTTCAGTCTGACTTCCATCTCCAAGCAGGGTGAACAGCAAGTCTCTACCTCCACGAGCTCATCTCTGCTCTTGTGCCTCCATGTGCCTCCCAACAAATGTGTGTAGAGGAGACGGCAGAAGCAACTGAATCTGGCTTGACCTGCTCCTTAACACTGAGCCCAAAGTAGAGCAGCCCCTGACTTGCCCCATTTCAGGCTGGTGCTCCTTGGAGGTCCCAGGTGGAAGAGGTCTTGGGGGTAAAGCAGATTTCTGGCCACTCAGCCTGTCCCCGTCCCTGTTCCTCCACAGAGTGGTGCACACAGGCCCTGTGTCTGAAACATGTGACTTTGATTTCCATCCACTGCCTCTGCCCGTGATAAGATTTTGGCTACAAGAAGAGGCTGTGATAGTGAGCACTGGTGCAGGTGGTGTGTTGCCACGCTGCCTGCCAGCCACACACACTGGGTCAGAAGCAGGGGGAACTGACCATTGTTTGTAGCCTAATACTCCCAGAGCTCTTTGATACCACACCAGAGCAAACCAAGATGATAATCCTACCTCTCAGATTTCCAAATCCAAGCCAGAGCTCCACAGAGGGGTAAGGTGTGGGCAGAGGAAGGCAGAGGAGAAGTTTCTGCAAGACACAGCAGACACAGCTGTCTCCTTGACGCTGCTCCTGCTGCAGCTGGTGAGCACTTTGTGCTCCAGTTTGCTTGTGGTTCGTTGCTTAATGCCTTGCCAGGCAGTTTTCCCGATGTGCCTCACCTGCAAGTGAACAGCTTCTCCTGCAGACCCCAGCAGAGCAGACCATGCCCCAGTTGGGAAAGTTTCTCAGTGAGGTGTTGGGGAGTTTAGGCAAGAGAAGAGGACTTGGAGGGGCCAACTGACCCCAGGGCCAACCCTCTCACTCCATCCAGGCCCCTTTCCACTGGCCAGGGGAGCTTTTACTTATCCAGAGCAAACAAAATTATTAGGAAGGTAATGAAATAGTAAGGCTGAGGTTCTGTGGGCACCTTGTAGGATGCTGCTTCCTTGCTTCTGAAAAGCAGTGGTGTTTTTTTTTCTTAAATTGCAAAGTGTCCTTTAAAGGTGTCCTGCCCTTGGGCCCAGGGCAGTTTCTTCAGCTCAGGGGAAAGTGTGTGGATCTGATAGCTGGATCAGCAGCCTGATAAGTGAATGGTTTTTGGAAGTTTGAAAAGTTAGTGGTGGCATGGGCCACCCTGTTCCAGTGGCCTCTGTGACCATGGCACAGCGTGGGCTCCACACCAGCAGCTGTCACGTCCTGTGTCTCTTCAGTGCCTCTTCCTTTTACTGGTTGCTTGTAAGGGTTTGATAGGCAAAACTGGTCTTTTAAAAATAGAAGATTCACAGACTTTTAAATTAAAATGGTCAAAATGATACTGGTCAAAATTTTTTGAAGCCACCACTCCTACAAGTAGTTCACACTGTGGCTGGAGCAACAGTTTGTCCTTTGTAGATGCTGGTGTGTGTTCCTTAGCATGTCCATGCTAAGAGGCTTCTGAAGACTTCTGAGACTTAATTTTCCTCTGCCAGTCTCCCCAACCCCAGGGCAAATCTAGTCAATAAACCAAGAAAAGGTTAGAAACTGTACTTCTAGCAGGGAGGGCTGGAGTCCAGATGATGTCCACAGTCGTTCCTATGGCTTCTCTCCTCAAATCCATCTTTTCCTGCTGCTGTAGTGAATCTTGGTAGAGACACAGATATTGCACTGGGATGAGTGGGAGAAAAGCCACCAAGAAGAGCTTGCAGGACAGATGGTTTCTCCCAGCTTCTTCCCAGCTGAAGCAACTTCTCTAATCTGACTGTCAGCCCTTGAACTATTCAGCCCAATCTCTGTAGCTCATCTCCAGCTTGAGCTCTTATCATAACTGACAGGAAAAAAATTCCTTTTGAGTAGAAGAAACTTTCTCTTCCTCAGACTCCAAGGCCCATGCACGTGGCCCTGGAGCTTTGGCTGCAGGAGTCATTAGATCTGTTTAATTTGGCTGCATTGATATGCCTGGTGCCTGATGGTTGGGCACCCTCCTGCAGGAAGACCTGGGCTTCAGGAAGGGCCAGAAATAAAATAGGAAATGGAAAACCACTATCAGAGAGTGATAGTTTGCTGCTGCTTCATTAGCAGGATTTAAATAACCCATTAGGGAGCAGTCAGGAGCATCATCCCCTGCATTCTCCAGCAAGAACAATTTGTTGCTCTTATGAAGTGAGCAGCCACTCCTTTTAGAGCCATGCACAGGAGCTTCATGACCCACTGGATGATGGGCTCAGGGGATGGAAAAGGATGTTTTTACTTAGGAGAGAGAAAGCATTGAGCAGCTGGTCTCAGTGAGCAGAGCCATGAGGGAAGGGCACTACTCTGTGGCAGTACAGCGATCACACATCCCTGAGGATGTGCCTGGTTTACAGTGTTTCCATCTGGGGTTTGGGAGAGAGGAGAAAGCCCCCCTGCCCTGAGCGCTGGGACACTGGGATGTGGCTGTGAGGATGTGGCACTGAAATACCCACCTAAGGCAGCAGAGGTCACAGGGGAGAAATTTTAGCAGGGGAAGAACGAGAGGTGGTGAGAGAATGGGAAAGAAAAAATTCTTGGTTCTGGACAGAGCGGTCAGTCCCCCTAATTCCAAGCAAACATTCCATTGCCAAGCAACTATTCAGTTGCCAGGGGCAGTTGTGGTCGTTGGGGTGGCCACAGGGTCTGTTATGGTGGTTTGAGCAGCCATAGGGCCTGTCTGCAGGGCTTGGGTAGCCGCAGGGCCTGGAACAGGGGTTGGAGTAGCCTCAGGGCCACAGGGCTGCAGAAGCCACAGGTCACGGAAAGTCTCAGGAAAGCAGAGGGGCTCATCCCGTGCCCGGTGCTTCCCACGCTCCTCCGGGCCCTCAGGCTTGCAGGGCAGCTCCCGGGCTGACCTGGGAGAGGGGCACTGCCAGCAGGGCCTGGGCTCTCTCTGTCCTGCTGGTGGCTGCAGCCATGGATACCTGGAGCAATGGGAAGATGGCAGCCCGTTTCCTCACCCTGTACAAGGTGGAAATCCCATACTTGCTCAGGTGAGGGGGCTCTTCCACCAGCATCCACCCTCTTCTCCTGTCTTCTCCATCCCTCCTTTCCCTGCCATGGCAAACTCCCATCCCTTATCTCCATCGCTTCTGTCTCCTCCTGTATCTCCCTTCCCCAGCCCTGTTCCTCCCTGTAACACCCCCGTGCTCTGCCAGGGGGATCCCCACTGGGGAGGGGGGGGATGCCATACTGCCAGATGGGGTCTGAGATGGTGTTGGATTGCTCTGCCCTGTTCCCCCACCTGGGACACAGTCCAACACCCAGAACAATCCAACACCCTGCCAAGGAACCGGACCCAGCATGTAACCTTGAGGAAAACTTCTGTGGCAGGGAACTCAAAGTGAGAGAGGAGGAATCTCGATGTTCACTTATGCAGCTTCTGAAGACTAAGAGGGAAGCCCGACTGATGCAAAAGACTCTGGCAGAGAAAGATGAGGTGAGAAAGATGAGAGGGTGCTGTGGCATGGCTGGGAGGGTTTGTGGTTTTTTGGATGAGGGCACCAGCAGGCAGGTGACTGGTTCTGGGTGAGGGCAGCCGTGCCACCCTCACTCTGGTGCTTCAGACCTTCAGGGAGAAGATGAAAGTCATCACTGACCGATGGAGGGCCCTGCACGCCAAGAGGGTTCAGCTGAAAGACCACGTGAAGAAGTCTGGGAGAATTATACAGGTACACCAGATGACATGACCTTGAGCCACACCACCCACTTCTCCTCTCCCTTGGGGAAGAGAGTCTTGGGCCAGTACTCCTGTTCAAGCCTGCCTTGAACCTGGAGGTGTAAGGAAGAGGAATTGCATGGCACGAGGTTTTGTACCACAGACATGGAAAGCCCTGATAGGGCTTGGGTGAGAGAGAGCTTGTCCAGTACCATCTGAGGGCACCAAATGTCCCCCAGGAAGGCTCTCAGCCTTGTCACTATTTGTTGGCATTCAGCTGTCTTCCAGGAACAGATACAAGTAGGTCTGAAAATCAGAGTGCCCTCCCAGGCGCCTGTCTCTAAAACCAAAGGGTCGATGCAAGAGGGATCGCCCTGTGAAACAGGGAGGGAAAATATTCCTGGAGTGCTCCAGTACTGGTCTCTACTCTGTGAAAGTATGTCCTTCCAGTGCTGTTAAGTGATCCATCCCTATCTTTCCTTGCCTTCCTTTCCCTCTCTCTATATGTGAATGCATGTGTGCTGGTGGGGGAAACCACCAGGAAAATGAAGAGGTACGAATCCTAGCTCTGAAGATAGACAGCAAAGAGAGAGAGGAGAATATGCAAAAGGACAGTGAGCTTTTGAGGGCTAAGATGAAATTGGAAGACCTCAGAAAAGAGCACTGGAAACTCTGCAAAAAAGTACAGAAGTATTCTGTCTTCAAGAAATACCTGGAGGACGTGGTGAAGGTCTCACAGGTGAGTTTGGACGTGAGAGAGACAGGTCATGGTCTTGGGAAGACCCTTGCATAGGTGTTGAAACTAAAAGAGATAAGGCAAACCCACTGGATACTTGATCAATCCCAGAGACCTCAGATGGAATGGTAAGAGGTTCCCTGCAAACAAGGTGAGCCACAGGGAGGAGAGTTAGGGTAGGAGAACCAGACCGGGAAGGGAATGTCTTTGAGAATCGGACCTCAGAATAGTTAGAGCTGGGGAAGAAGTGAAGATCTTTAATCTGGGGGAGGTGTTGGCCCTGATAAGGGCAGGGTGCCAAATGAAACAAGCCCTGCAGCTCGTGAGGGGAGGGCATGGGGTTACTAACACCAGGAATCCTGTGCTGTAGTTTGAGGACATCCCAGAAGTCGCTTCACGGTACAAGTTGCTGGTGAGAACACACAAAGACCTTCTGCAGTCACAACAGGGGCACAAGGAACTGACTGAGCAAGACAAGCTGCTCCTGGAACAGTACAGGGCAGAGAAAGAAGCTGAGATGCTTCAGTACAAAAGGGAGCTGGTGCAGCTCAAACAACGTTTTGACCAGGCTCAGAGAGACATCCTCCTCTGGGTAAGGCACTGTGGGGTGGGCAGGGGAAGATCTACAAGGCCTGTCTCTGTCAAGACCGGCTGATGGCTCATCCTTCAGCCATGAGGTCATGGCAGAGCCCAGTACCATCTTTGTGATGGGAGGAGGTTCATGATTTCATCCCTCCATGGAGTTGCAGAAGGAAGAATGACAGACCAGGTCTGGAGCCAGTTTACCATCAGGCAAAGCTGAAAAGCACCTGGTCTGGGAGGGTGGCAGTGGCATGTGTTGCTGCCAGGGTATCAGCAACCCTGCTGAGGGTAGCAATGAATAGGGTCTGTGGAGAGCCAGAGTGAGGACTGCAGGAGTGGAAAAGAGACAGGGAGGTTCCTGGGGCAAGGAGCAGCTGTGGTGTTACCTGGGTCTGCCCCCATCACACCAGGCTGAACCACCTCCAGCACAGCCTGGTTTTTCCTAGGCAGGCAGATGAGTGTGGAAGTTAGGGTCTCCAAGCCAGGAGTCCAGTGCTGCAGCAGCACCTTTGCTGGGGCACATCCCCATGCTGTGTATCTCCTCTCCTGCCAGGAGGCTCGCTGGGCTGACATCCAGAACAGGACTTCCAGGAAAACCAGGAAGTTTTGGACCATCAAGCTGGCCATCCATGACCTTTTCCAGTCCACCAACATGCGGCTGAATGCTGAGTGTAATGTGTCAGCGGATGACAGCCTCAAACAGCTGGACATGGTAAGGCCAAGCCAGAGCCCTACTCCCTGCCCAGAAAGAGGAGCAGTAGTGACTCTCAGCTGCCCAAAGGAGGGGAGAGCCCACAGGCTCAACAGACACATTCCTGTCTCTCTCGGGCGTGGGGAATGGGCAGGGGATACCAGGCAAACCTGTCTCATCTGAGGAGGCAGAGCAAGGTGTGGAGCCAGGCAAAAGGAGTGGGAGCCAGGCAGGCTGGGGCAGGAGATGCAGGGTATGCAGATCAGGCCACAGCCAAGGCTGGGTTTCATTCACCCATGCCCTGAACTCAGACTCGCCTACAAAACTCCATTCTGGTGGTGCAGATCCAGCAAGGCAAATGCTTTATCCCCCTGTTCAGTTTGATTTGTGACATTTGGGGCCAACGAACCTCCCTTTGCTTCCTGTTCCCATCCCTGTGCTGAGCTCTGCCATCTCTCTTTCCCACCCTAGATAAAGCAGTTTATCCAGCACCTCGAAGACATCCATCTCTATGGGGGACAAGAAGAAGCACCAGTGAGCAGCTACACTGATGAAGCCAAAGGAAACCTGACTTGCCCTGACAAAGAAGGTTCAGTAGGTTGGGAAGGGAAAGAGGAGAACCCTAGAGATACTGTAGACTAAAGAAAAAAACACAAAGAAACAAACTGTTTTAAGGTGTCTCTTCATTTTCTGGGAGGATTGGACATGTCAGACCAACTCCATCCCACAGCTTCACCCCAGACACCATTGGGGTGCCTCCTCTGGCAGATGGGGTTCTGGTTGCAGGAGACAGTGTTCCTGCAAAACATGCAATATCATGAGAGCAGGCTGGGACAGGAATATAGGCTCCAACAGGGATCAGTACAAGTGTTCACATTTGGATGTCCCACTCAGACTAAGCTCTTTTATATTTGAGAGAGGTGTCACAACAGGGTGGGGAGACTGTGCTTCAGGAGACCTTCAGAAAGTTTCCACCACACCCAGCACATCAGTGAATATGGATTTCTCTGCACAGCCATGTGTTGTGGACTAAAGCTCACCTTCCCCCTCAAGGTGCTAGGGAAAGTGTGGAGAACAGACACAGGTGATGGATGAACCAGCCAAAGCTACCACACCAAGCATTTAGCTGTTCACCACATGTGCTCTCATGAGAAATGCAAAGTAAGAGGACTAGCAGTGGCTCCAGGGGCACACTGTGGAATTCAGGTCAGGCCCCCCAGCCTTTTGTGGAGGACCTTTTAATGGACCAAGGACCCAATGACATAAGCTTACAGATTTTGAGGCAAGAGACCATTGATCCCATGCTCTTGCTCTCTGCTCTCCAGTAGTTATTCCTGTCCTGAGACAAAGGATTTCCTGGAGGAAGAAGAGCTTCCAGGAGGAAATAAAATTCTCTGAGACTGGTGAAAGGTTGCACAGCGCAATGCAGAAATGATGCTCGGCTCTTCCCAGGCTTCGGGTGAGATTTGGGAGAAGGAGGTCTGGAAATGGAGCATCTGGAGATGAGTGATGGAGCTTTGCGGACATGTCTCCAAACACTCATTCAAAAGTTTTTCCATCTTCCTTATCCTCACCATGGCACAGTGTCCTTGCAATTTCTGGTTTTTTTAGGGCATGGCCTAGACATAATTTGGAAGAATTAAAAACTGGGGGGAAAAAAGCAATTCAAATGCTTCAGCATAGTGAGCATGAGTCCCAAAAGGGTGATCTTTTTAGCTAGACAGGTTCTGCCATCTACGCTTGGTTTGATCTTCCAAAATAACAGGGTGTGAACTTTGATATTTCCACGTTGTATGGCAAGAAATAACATGCCTGTAACAGTTTTAATCCTGGGTATTACCTCTCCTCCAAACTTCAGAGATGTACTGATATACACACCCTGCCTTCCCGCATGCGGGCGGGTAATTAGGAAGAAAAAAATCCTCTTTGTGTGTTGGTACACGTCCTTCTAAGCAATCCCAATTTCCATAGGGATCACATGTGGCTAAAATGCAGCTGTTGTTGGTATCCTGTGTGCTTTGCAGTGCGCTGTGCTCATAAATAAAAAGTGAGACAAATTTCAGTACCTGATGTTTTACACAAGAGAACTAGATGAGGGTTCCAGAGCCCTGTGCCAACACGGGAATGAATGTCTGACTTTCCTTACAGGAAATTTCAGGATGGTATAAATTTAATATATTGGATTGAATGGTCATGTGATTTGTTACCTTTGTGGCTTTTTTTTTTTTTTTAATCTTTTCGTGATAAAGGTAAAATCAACAAGTTAAATCCTTTAATTAAAATCCTCTTGGCTGAGGATGTGAATATTATGGAAATTATTTCCATTTTTTAACCAGGCTTTTAAAATGAGGATACAGAAATAAAGAACTTACACCTCCAAAACATGGCATTTCTTACTCTATCTTGACATCAGCCTGGTGCAGTTTTCTGCACCTTCCCGTGTCACACTGCCGTGAGTCAGGAAATAAAGCTTAAATCTAAGGTAGTTATAGAGAATCTTGTTTCTTGGGATTTATTTGGTTTGGTTTAGTTTGGTTTTTTTAAATGAATTCATAAATGTGTCTCTTTCAATTAAAAAAAAAAAATAAAGAAAAAGGAAGGAAAGAAAAGCCATGCACCTTTTTCCAGGTGAATATTGACTATTGACTGAGACAAGACAGTGTAATGCCTCTGTTTCTGCTTTAAATTATAATATAACTGATATAACTGAGTTTTTGTGACATTAGTTGGGTTACTAAGAGTGCTGGACACAGGCTGAAATCTGAGTGCATAACAGGAATCCATACAGTGGTTAAGGAAATCGGAGAAAAGTTATACTTGGAGCTACAAGGAAAGAATTCCAAAGTATCTTCACTGAAACTAATGAGTTTATTTTGGATTCGTTCACTTGTAAGTAGGAGGTTGGCAATAGCAGGGATAAGAAAGTGGCTTTCTCTGAAATAGGAGAGAGAAAGAAAAGAATGCAATCTAGGAAATGACACAGCATTGGTCTCTTAAGAAAAGCCTTCTCTTTCTATGAATTTTTTGCATTATTGGACATTTTTGGGAAGAAACAGCTGTAAAAATTAAATGGAGTGGTAGAGAGCTGTGTGTGAGGGAGACAAGGCTGCTTTGGTTAAACTTGGAGATTATTCATGTGATCTTCTCTGGTGACATCAAATTTTAAAAATTGGGAAAAAAGCCCAAAATAGGTGAGGGAGAGTACCCCAACCCTGTCTCCACCAGTCCTCAGCAATGCAGATCTTCCTCATGGATTCGGGCAGCCACTTGGATGGATCATGTACAAATGTAAGACCAACATTGCTGTTCCCAGGTTGGCCTTGGGGTCACTCTTCCATTAGGGAGCTCAAACCCTGGTGCGTGCAGCAAATCCTTCACTGTTACGGGGAATTGCAGCAAGCGCAAGTGTAACCCAGTCATTTCGTGTGAGTAAATCAGGATAAACTCCCAGGATTACTTTGATTACATGATGTTTATCTCATGTTACATCCTGGGCTGCAGGGTGAGGTGGTCCCAGTGCCCCACTACACATGCAGCTGTGCCCTGCTAGAGCCCCAGAGGTCTGGGGTTCCTGTGGGCCATGATGTATTTGGGGTGAAGCACAGCCTTTTGTGCCCCCCCAACAAGAATTCAGCTCAAGAATTCAGGAAAGGACAACTTTCACGTAATGCCAGTCTGATGGCTCTTGCTCTTCTAAACCACAGTACAGAAAGAGTTGAAGACAGGGTTGCAAAATTGCAAAAAAAATTCACAGTATCACTTTTGCATAATATCTTAATATGAGGGATCACAAGAACCTCTTGTTCTGGGGAAAGACTGATAAGAGACTAGAGTTTAGCATTCTGCTAGGCCTAAGGAAATAGTAGCTGTAAATTAGCATAACAAATATAAAGTTGCATAATGGTCTCCATTCTAATGTGTTTTAGGTTAACAATTTGTTACAATTTTCAGCTTTTGGTATGAAATCTTCCGGGCTGGTTTTCCAACTGGGAAAAAAGTACACAAATATATGTAAACTTACTTAAGACAAATACTACTAAATAATCTCTTCATCTAAGGAAAGATAGGAAGCTTTTCTCCCATTATTACTTCTTATAATTCCTTCAGTGAATGTTGATAGAGCAGACACAGCTGGTTTTACACATTGAACTGTGGGCTGGGAATGGTCCTTGCAAAGCAGTGTCTGTCTGTTACATGAGAATCACAGACTGACAGAATCATTAGTGATGAAAAAGACCTCTGAAATCATTTAGTACAACCATTAACCTAACACTGAAAGGTCTAGCACTAAACCATGTCCCTAAGTGTCTCATCTGCATGTTTTTTAAATGTTTCCAAGGATGTTGATTCCACCAGTTCCCTGGGCAGCCTATTCTGAAGCTTGACCCCCCTTTCAGTGCAGAAATTTTTCCTAATAGCCAATCTAAACCTTCCCTGGAGCACCTTGAGGCTGTTTCCTCTTGTCCTATCATTTTTTAAGAGTGCCATAAATCTTTTACGACGTTTTAAGTTTGTGGTGCAGTTAAGTTACCATCAGACAGCTGAGCTAGAAATGACTTCTGGAGCACAGCTCTTTACGTAGAGGCATCTGCAAAAAGCTCCTGTACAGAGCAAAAGTGCTTAAAAACTTGGTTTGTGCTGAGCCCGTGAAGGCTTCAGCCAAGGAAGGCTTGGTATTGATGCCTAGTGAAAAGCATAGTAATGTTGTTGCTGTAAGTCTCTTGGAAACCTCTGAGGTGGAGGGAAGAGATTCTTTCGAGGAGCTGAAAAGCTGAGCCCTCGTTCCTGACACATTATATAGGGTGAGTAGCTTGGGGCTGTGACAATATCCTTGCCTGAGCCTCTGCATGGGGCACCTACACCTTCTACACCTGCAAGATAAAGAGGAGCTTTATCTCATCTCCCAGAACTGCCTAGTGGGGGTCATTGTTTGCTGCATGAGGTAACCTGTGGGTGAGGTGGTCCTCAGTCCTCACAATAGCATGGCCAAACACACTTGATTTCATACCACCTATTTCTGTTCTTTTTGGTCTCATGATTTTTTGAAGGTTTTCTTTTTTTTTTTTTTTTTTCATTTCAGGTCTGCAAAGCTAACAAGTTTCATCAGACAAAACTCTGGTTTCAGAATTGCTTCAATTGCTCAGGGTTTTTCCTTGCTATTATTTATATTTCAAAGACTAACCCCAGGAAATTCTCGCCCCATTTCCTTGTGCCTCTGCTCCTCCTTTGGATGCAGAGAGGAGCTGCTGATCTGTCTTGTCCCAGAGAGGTCTGGCAGCCCTGTGGCACTGGAAATGCTCATTTTTGCCAGCTCAAGCTAAAAGTTTGCTTTATAACTACCAGCAACATGTCAGCAAGTAAGAAGAGACACAGAACTAAACTTGGTCACTGGGGTTGAAGGTGACCTTTAAAGGTCCTTTCCAACCCAAACTACTTCTGTGAGCTATTGTGTGTTGGTGGATTTGTTCACATGGCGCAAAAAGTTGTCTAATAGACACTGGAACCCCACTATGAGCCTCTACAGGTTACAGATACACTGACACGTATCTGGAGAGCTGACTGGAGAGGTGCAGGGTAGGAATACTGATGAAGCCTCCAGTTCTCATATGTTCTAGCTAAAAACCCTTTTGCTGGTAAAAGTG